TTCCAATCTGGCCAAAGCAACCACTCTATTCGGTCAACGGCTTATGAAAACGATCTCCTTTCGCATTAATATTTGGTATTCAAGAAATAAAACCCTAATTGTAAGAAGGAATCCGAATCATCTAGAGTTGCAAAATGTAGAATTATTAAAGGACGTTGCGGCCAGTATAGATTCTGTCCACACAAGCCTTATGCCGAGCCCGTATTATGCTCGTGGATTCATCACGTTAAATCTCGGTAGCGAAATATTTTGGTGCTGAGACCTTCAGGCACAAGGATGTTTTGTGCCTTTGTAGGCCGAACATTGAAAGGTTGTCTGAAGAATCAGGTGAGCAAATAGACTTAAAGCTGGTTTCAAGTGTCTCTCTATGATCAAAGGAGACTATGACCCTAAGCCTGCATTTAATTTGTGCACACTAGAACTGTTCAGGTTCTAAACATGTTACTTTCATTCTTTTGGCTTGATTTCGATCAAGCAGATTATCGTAGAGTCGCATGTTATAGCGTAAAATAACGTTTGGATTATTTGGAATATAATACATTCGAAAATTTTAAGTCAAGTTAATTTATTCAAAGGAATTTCTGAAACGAAACAGTAACATCAACAAACGTTTGCACATCTTCCAGAAAAAATTAAATCATAAATACAATTAAATAAATAGTTTTATTGAAAACAAAGTACACCTTGCCAGTGTAGCATACGATATAATATCATAGCATATTATACAAAAAAAATGAGACTTTCAAACCAAAATCTGCGCTCTACGATCATCTGTAAAAAACAGAAAGATGAATACTTCGATTGTGTGGTATCATGACACAATCGAATAAAAGGTTGAAAACCCTGATAAACTTATTGCAATGAGTCAAGGCATTATCAAAAATTACAGGATCCAGCTTGAATGGCATATTACATTTGTTGAAAGGCACAAATTCACTAAACATAAGGGTGTTCATTATGAAAATGTATGCTGTCAGAAATTCTTTGAGAACCTTGATTCTACTCATACATTGCAGAGAGTCCCATGCCGTTGTCGCTCCATGTTNTGGGCAATTGGCTAAAGATTCAAAAATAATGCCAGCGAATGCACTCTCGCTGGAATGAGTAGGGAAATCCTATCTAATGTTACAAAAGCTTTCGTGGGAATACATACTGAACACTTTGAATCATATTCATTTGCATCCTTCTCAACCAGTTAAATATTCATACGTATGCATAGCTAAAATGCAAAAAGAATTATTCACGACGAATTCTCCTAACCACGAATTTTTGGGAAGCTATTTGCCTTCTCCCATACATTGCCAAGCCCGGTGCCACTTATAATAGGTCCAGGACCACCAATAGGGAACCGAGGAGCGTTATGGATGATGAGTGGACTATCGTCGTCTGCAAGGTTATCATACTAAAAGCAGATGATATGATTTCTGATCCATCATCAAATATTGCAAATAACATGCAACAAATGAAAGCATTGATGGATTACTAACCACGTTTGTTGTGGATGGGGTAATTTAAATTTGAATTATCTGTAACAATTCCGCACTGAGATTTGAGGTGAGATTTATTAATTTATTTCTCTATTCATATAATCAATCATTTATTTACTCGCGAGACAATTTTGATGTGAATCACTCAGAATGAAGTCAAAATGACTCAATGGCAACCAGCGAGAAATCGCTCCGGTTTTTGCCTATCATTTCTTACAGAGATGATTCGACTGCTTAGAATCATCAAAATGTTTCACTCACTTTCACCGCCTGGCGGTAACATAACTGGTCCTGGACCACCTCTAATTTNTTCTGATTAAACAACAAAATCACATAGTTAACAAGAGAGGAAACGATTAAGAAAGCGCAATGGCTCCTTTCCAGTAATCAATCTTTTGGAAAAAAGTGACGAATGAATTTGAATGATTTGACTGAAAAGTTTGTGGACAACACGCGAAATAATGCACAAGGACCAACTGAAATTATTTTTGGTTCAGGATCATAATCTCGAAAAATTGCTAGCACATGGAATTTGAAACTCAAACGGCTTTATAGATGGGTGAGAAAATGCTGGTTTTTCCGACTTTCAGGATGACTAGTAAAGAGACGCGAGAACGTTACGAGAGGACACGTAAATGGTACAGTTGTGATGCACCTCATAATTAGTCATCGTGTTTTACCGTAACATGAAATTTTTCGTGGTAATTTGGAGAGAAATTCTCTTGATTCTTTAATGATGTCAGCAGGTGAACGACAAGTTTGGCCTAGAAAAGCTGTGGCATCGCATTCACGTGTAAACGAACAATCAAACGAACTAAACACATACCAACAATTCGGAACGGACTCGGGGCAAAAGGGCTTATCAGTGGATCTGAAATGAGAAATTAACGTTCAGTACTGCACT